ATAAGATTGCATGAAGTAGTGGGCTTTGAAAAATTGTTTTGGGACCATCTTAGACCCTTGGTGCCTTTCTTCACTTTGCTCTCCTTTCCAAGCTTGCTCCCTTCTGCGCTATAATTTTAGACTTGACAATCATGAACTTTTCTTCAACTTAATGGAAAAGGCTAGTTAAGGGTACAAGCAGTTAGGTTTACTGATCTCTGCAAGAGCTAGACTTCTAAATATCCTAAGAGCTAACCACAGAGATAGTACAAGACACCAGAAAGCTTTGGGGAAGAACTATAAACCATGTGAGCAGACAAGAAAAGAAACAAAGAGAGCTTTTAGAAGTAGGAAAAGAAGGTAAGAGGGACACAGATGTGTAGTATATTGCAGGGAAACTGAGAAGGGCCTTTGCAGAGAACGGGGGAGGCCTGACCTTTCTGAACATTTTTGTCTTTTTCCCAATTGAAAATACTTTCTTTTCAAGGGTAAAGGATAACTTGCCACATCAGGAAGAGAGAGTTTTTAGCATTACAATTTCCTTGACTTTCTTGGCTTTTTCTGTGTTTAAAAAACAACTTAAAAACACATAAATATGTGACTTTTTCTTGGTAACTGACATCAAGGATCAGACTGAACCCTTGGGCATAAATCAGGACAATGCTCTGGAAACTGGACCCTGAGTACCACAAGGAAAGGCTTATACTTTGTTTCTTCCATTTTATTTTGGGACTGTGCTAATTACTATATACTTTTCCAATTGCTGATAGTTATTTTGCTAAGCACAAAATGCCACTGTCTTTCTTGTTGAAATATATATATATTTGGCATTTCTGTAAATGACCTGAGACTACAAGTCTGGTCACAATCAAAGTGTCTGCACATTAAAGGGAATCAGCCATGATTAGTTATAACAACTCAGATTAGCCGTTACATAAATATTTACTACAGGGAACAAGAATTGTGAAAATAACACTTAATACTTGTGTTTACGTATACCTATTACCACTTGACTCATTGTATAGCTATCATGTTACTGGTTGGAAACTCATTTTCAAATGGAAACTTTAATTATGGGAAATTTTCATAAATTCCTGTCTTTCCTTCTGCTCTTACTTTTTACCTGGTGAGACATCAGTCTAAGCTACTCTAAGACTATTGGTGGAGGTCAGTGAGTTCCACTAATTTTTCTTTATCATTCATTAGACACATATATCCTTCTACTGTTGACAGTTATCTCCTTGTGTTCATAAATCTTTATATGGACAGATTTATAACCAGATTTCTGGAGGTCTTTTTCTGATTGTTCTAGCACAGTGATTTTTCTCAATGCTGGCTGACTGTACATTAGAACCACCTGGGAATCTTTGAAAAAATCCTGAGGCCCAGACACCACCCCTAGACAAATTAATTTCTGGAAATGGGGCCAGAGCATCAGTTCCAATGTTCAGTTAGGGCAGAGAACTACTGACATAGAAAAGATAAAAATCAAACCCTCGTTTGTCTTTCAAATTCATTCTGAGGTTTAATTTCCTGCTGCTTTATGAAAAAATACACACACACACACATTTTTGTGTACATGTGTGGATTTCTGCAACTTGTCTTTTCTAATCAGGATAAATGAACTTTTTCTTTTGAAGACTGGTATTAAAGAAGTCCACAGTGCTTCCTGCTCGAGACATTTTCTTAATTTATCTTCATCATTTAGTCTCACTTGGCATCAGTAACAATACATTTTATGTATAAGTTTGCACAATGGTTTATGGTTGACAGGGTACTTCTATAAGCATCATCTCATGTGAATTGCACCATAATTCTGGAAAGCAGGTGGGACAACAATCCCTATGTGAGCTGAGAATACTGACACAGGGAGCTTAAATGACTTACGTGAGAGGCAGGACTGGCAGCCAGTCTGTCTAATACCCACCCCAGCACACTTTCCACTATTTCATTCTACCAGAACTTTTGAGATGTTTCTTGTTATCTTGTGACTAATTTCAAATCAGGGGTGGTACTGGAGACTAAGTTGAAATACTGGATACCATATATGTAATTAGTTAAATGCAGTTTAATGAGGGGCCTGGAATATAGTATGTGGTTAAAAACATTTGAGTAAATGTAAAACATTTTACTTATTTGTGGCAATGAATGACCCTTCTATAGAGGGCAGTTGTAGATACAAGCATTCCAAATGAATTCTAATTTTAATTCTAGTGGATCTGCCTATAATAGTAAGGTCCTGGAGAAAGTCAGAAAAAGCAATTCAGTTTTCAGGCTGAATTAATCTTCGAGGAATACAGAGGCAGACTAATGGACAATAAGACACACAAACATGGTCCTCTATTATTTCTGTCTGAAAGAATAATATCAGGAAGTAACTAAATATGTGCACGAGAAAATACTACAGCTGACTACAGCTTTTAAGATCTTCCTAGTAAATGAAAATCACTGTGCAGGAAGGAAAAAGGATAGCTATCCCAGCAGATCAGCCAGCTGTATGACCTGGAGTACTACTATAGAGGCTGTATATTTAATTCATAGTATAAGTGATGTATTTAGTTGCAGGGAAGACGTGTTCGTAACAATGCTCCCAACACACCTGGCTGACGGTGTAATGCATAGATAATCCTTCCTCTTTAGACACCTAAAGCTGAGAAGCAACAAAGTGGAAATGAATCCAAGAATTGGTCAACTACGATAACCAAAATCTGAGACAAAAAATGCTAGCTAACGGTAGGACAACTTCCAAGAAATAGGGTCAACAATTTTTAAAAATCACTAAAGAATATGTTGATGTTTGGATTAGATATTAACAACCCCCCCCCCAAAAAAAAAGAGAGGCCTAAAACCCAAAAACTTATATAAAACAAACAGAAAACTGTTAGACTCACAGGCTTCCAACTTCTCACTGCTTCCCTCCCCTTTCTTTAGTCTCTCAGAGTCCCTGGTGGGGCTGTGAAGGGACACACACTTCTTGACATATATTAGGCAGGTCAAATGTAGATGTATGTTTTTTGAATTAAGATGGCTTATTTAAAGCAATAAGAAGCTGCCACAGAATAGCCAAAATTATAGATATTAGGAATGGAAAAGACCCATTAGATCATCAAGTCTGTCCCTAAGGGCCAGAGCCGGAGAAGTAATCGAAATAAAATGATCCACTCACTCTAAATGTTCTCTGTGGTTAGTAAGACAAAAACACTCTCAAATATAAATGAGTCCTGGAAATTTATGACTGAAATGCTGAACTTTCTTTTTGAAATTAGTTTGCTCTTTCTTAGAGTCTGGGGAAATTGTGCTTATTTTGTTATTGTTTTTATATACTCTGTGTGTGTGTGTGTGTGTGTGTGTACAAACCATACAGGTGCTGTGAAGCCACCATTTATCATGGTTTTCAGTTCTCTCTTGCAGAGTCACATTTATATTCATAATAAACTATTGATTCATCTAAAGGTATAGAACCACTCCACTCAGATTATGTTCAGGACTATAACCATAGGCCAAGTCTTCTCTTTTTGGGGTGCTCAAGTGACCACTAATGGATAGTATGCATGGACACTGAATTAGTTCATGGGATGGAATAATTCTTAGATATAAGTATCAAGGACTTGAGAGTTTTTCCATGTGCAGAGACCATAGAAAGGAACAGCTTTTAGTTTTCCTCACTGGAATAGTTCCAATAATTTTGAATGATATTTTTCCATAAGACTTTATAAATGTATTTTGAAGTGTACACACATACGCACACATATGTACACTTTACACTTTTAAATGTGGAAATAGTATAAAGCCATACTAATATCTAAAGAATAAAGAGTTTTCCAGACTGGTTGGGATGAGGAGAACATGGGGATACAAGAGATTTTCTTTCATTGTGGGGCAGGCAGTCCTATAGGGCCACTGATGAAACTCAAAGCCATGAGCAAGCTTGTGTTAGTATCCACCACAGTTATGGCTAGCTGTACAGATAGACTTATAAGGCCATTATGAAGAAATAAACCTAACCTCAAGTGACTTACCAAAATAGTCATTCACTAAAATTTATGCTGGCTATAGTGGAATTAGCAATAAGAAAAAGCATGATTTCTTTATCAAAGAGCCATCATTGAGGGGCTTGTGCCTCCTTGAAGAAACTTGTCAAAATGTTCCCCAAACAGCCTTTTATATTTCCATACTTATATAGACATATTGTTGCCTTTTAGTTGCTTAAAATAAAAATGTGATAGAATTTTTTAAAAAACATTCCATATGGTTTACTATGACCTTATTGTAAAAATACATAAAAGTCTTAAGTTATGAAATACTAGAGCACCTTCTTTAATTGACTTAGTCGATGAAATCTTGGTGCCTGGAGTTATTTCTATAAAAAGCTGGGCATCAAGCCCTTGGTCAAGAATATAAACTCCTCCTGAACATTGTTTCTATAGGAAAACTTGAAATCAACTCACATCATTTTGACTTGTCAGGCCTTTTCCAGGAACTTTACTTGCCAAAGGGATGAAGATTGACTCCTTGTTTAAAGAAGAGGGGCCCCAAAGGCATTTCTTATAAATTTGGGTGCCAAAAGAAATGGAAAATCCATCATCCTCAGATATTTGAAGACCAATTCATGGTAATGATACTGTATCTTCTATTTTCTAGCCTTGGGGAAATGCAAAAGACGTTTGCTTCTAATTTTTATTGTACCCTAGTGAGAAAGGAAGAGGCTCAGAGTCAACTATTTAAAAGTATTTAAGTCAGAATTTGGAAAATGGGCACCCAAGGAAAAGTAATTATAGGTGACACTAGGCAAACTTTCCATTTTGTTTTCCTTCACTTTTCAAGTAATTCCATTTTTCTATTATTCCCCTCATTGTGCACTATGCTTGGCTGTGGTATTTGCAGACCTTGTTCGGCTTCATTAACTATACTGAAAGCTATGCCATGGAGCTGTGAACACATAATATGGTGCCCACCGTAAAATGGCTTTAAAGGTTGAATTTCAGCAAAACTTCAATTTCATATTTTTTACTTACCTTCTGACTGTAAGGCGACTGAAGGATTTACTCCTTTGAAAAGTTGAGTAAAGACGGGATCGTCTCTTCTCCCATGTCTCTGCTTTTTCCCTAACCGGCTCCCAAATCCCCACACAGCAAATAGCATTCATGAACTTCAGGGGAGAATGAAAATGAGGCTTTTTTTTAAAAAATGTATGCTATATTTACCATTCTTCTAATTTGGAGAACAGATTAATTTCATAGAAGAAAAGTCACGGTAAATTCTCTGTATTTTGTCCTGTTCTCCCATAAAAATTAGCAGCTAACTTGCATAAAATTAATGCTACTTTATACATACTTGTCCTTATGAGCTGACCTCAGGGCAAAGACAGAAGCAAGGCAAATGAAGCATTATCGCATTATGAGATAATTTGGTTTCACACTTCCTTAGGAGGTTCCATCCTACCACCTGGTTCAAAACAGTTCTAAACTGAATTTTACACTGATATCTTTAACATTGCTAAAAAAAAAGTCCCAGTGACTATACATGTATTTTAGTTAATGCCTCCTTTATTTTCTGAAAATTAAAGAGAAAGAAATTTGATCATGATAAAGGCCAATGTATTGTTTACTCTCTGCTAGGCACTGTTCTAAGAACTTTCCTTATATTAACACATTTGATTCTTACAACAATCTTAGGGGGTGGGGGCTATTAAGAAGGTCATTTAACTTGCTCAAGATTACATAGATACTAAACGGTAGAATCAATATATGAACCCATGTTCGCAAGGTCTACATCATACTAGCTTTAAAATCTCTGGTTCCCTTGGGAACTTCTAAAATCAACATAGGAAACATGTACTCAATAAATTCAATCAAGTAATAAATATGTGCTCGGTTTTTACTCAATACCTAACCTTGGACTCTGCACTGTGGAGGGAAGAGTAAACAAGACACAGTTACCACTGAATAGCACACAGGCACTTAAACTAATGAATAGCTACACTCCACTCAGGGCTTGGAAATGCCCATAGAACACATTAGAAGGGTAAAACAGAAGTGGTCCCCAAATTGGGGAATAAAAGTGAATGCAGGAATGGTGATAACAGAAAAAAATGAACTGGTTAAAAAACAACTTCCCTAAAGCAAAATATACTACATCATCTCTCTATGGACTCTTGTAATAACCTTCTATGTGGTCTCTTGGTTTCTCTCTGGCCTACAGGACATTCTCTTCACAGAAGTCAGAGTAATCCCTTACCATCTACTTTGAAAAGAAGCAGTCAATCAAGAGAAGCTAATACTGAAGAGAAGATACCATGTAGAACTTAATTACAGAGCGGGACAGCTTAGGAGTCAGTGTCACTGAATAGAAAGCTAAATAGCGTCCTACTGTGGAAATTTCTCTCCGTGTCCCTTTTTGCTACCCCCCGTCCCCCACTGCCAGAGGTTGAATTTTTCTTTATTTTATACCTCATACAGACAGCCCCAGCTAGCTTTTGCTGGCCTCTCTGTACTATGTTTGAGTCCCTGTTCATGATCCAAAACATGCTGAAGCAAAAATGCAAGCATTTAAAAATATATCTCAAATGTGATTCATATAAAAAGATAAAGATATTTATTTATGATTTAGGTAATTCTTTTATCTTTTAAAGATTTTCTAACAGAATCTGGAAATAGAAGAGCTGTTTTCAAATACCCGGAAGTCTATTTTATGAAACGGCATTAGCTCTATTCCTTAAGTTCCAAGAAAACCCCCAGAGAATGCATAGTATTTCCTTATCTAGTAACGAACTATAGAAATGATCCCTGAAAGTATAGTCTTGTATTTCCTTATCTAAAAGATAAAAGTGAAAAGGAGGAAGCACAAAGTATGTTCTTGATGTGGTACATGTTAGAATGAAAACAACCAGAGTTCATTCTTCTCCATTCAGTTGTGCAACTGGCAGTTTTTGGGTTATCAAAGAACAGTCGCACCCAAAGGAGGAACTCAGTTTTTCTTATTTAAAGGCTTAGGTGCTTTTCATTCCAGAGAGCTGTATATAAACATCTCACACTTTCTAGAGGCGGGTCATGTAATGCCCCATTCTTAATTCCGCGCCCCTTCCACAGGGTGTCTTTGCTGTGGAGGGTGGAGGTGTTAATGGGCCTGAGCCCCATCTATTGGGCCTGCCAGTTTTGATTGGCAGATGCTTCTACTGAGGCAGCAGTTTTTCATCTCCCAGGCTTTGTGGCCCACAGTGTAACAGATAAGGGGTAGCAGACATCCTGTCTCTAGCGCACTCAGAAACAAATGCAAACTAATGCAAAACAGAGTCAGAAGGCACAGTTTTTCTTATTTTGGTCTCTAATGAAACTGTCATCTTTATTCATAGAATGGTTTCTTTATAGCTTTCTATTTCTCCTATTGTGCAGACACAGGTATTCACCTGAAATGTGCTATTTTTGATGCCGGGTAAATTCACCTTCTCAAATATCACAGGAATCAAAGGTTACTACATCGCAAAGGTTACTACGATAGAGATACCGTGTGCATGATTTTGTGACTATGTGTCTATAAAGCAGACAGAATCAGATACGCTCACATACACACCCCTGACATATGCACTCACATTTTTTCTCTATTTTGCTTCAAGGTCAGTCTTTAGGTTGCCCCCCACCTCCCTTTACTCTGATTGGGGACATTTTTGACTGTTTAAAAGGCAGCCAAACATTCATGCTGCCATTACTCTTATTTAAGACAAGACTGAAAAGCTTCATACTGTCTGCCCCTACGCCTACTCAAGCTGATTGTCTTTTAATAGTTTCAATGAAAGTTGTGCAAGGAAATAATATTCTACAATCTTGGGTCTCCAGGGAAGAATATGGTCATTTCCAGAAGAGAGTGAGCCTTTGCTGAATCTGCTACTTTATGAGTAAAACAGGAAGTTCATTTCTCTTTTATTGTACCTTTTTCATTTTTGAAAAGCTGCCCAAATAGTTCCAAGTAGAGTTGAAGCAAAGTTATTAATGTCAAGAAGCCAAGATCTTTCTCCATGGTTTGCTGAATGAGGAAGGAAGAAAACTGTTTGTACTCAGTTGTCCTTTGCTGTTTCTGCTTGAGCCAAAGAAGCCGGAAGGAGAGAGAATGAATAAGTGAAAAGAGATGATGTTTATCTTTTAACAAAATCACAATGTTCTGTACTCAGCTTCGGCAGTCAAATGTAACCATTGCATCTTTAAGACGGTTTTTTCTCCGAGAGACAACACACTAATTATAGTGCTTCTGCCAGAGGGAACTCACACATGCAAACCATTATGTAAAATATAATTTCTTTTTCTTTAAGAATACTCAAGATCATTAGACATGGTTTCTTCAATGCTAGAAAATCAGGCCAAAAATGAAAACAAACAGTTTCAAGTATTTGCAACATAATTCCTGCATGCATTTATGGAAATACAGTAAAAGTGCCCTAAAATGTGGTTTGACATTTCATGCTGTACTGTTCTTCTATTTTTCTAATTCTCTAACATGCACCCTCTTATCCTATATCACTTTAGCTTCATGATATTTCAGATATTCACAGAGCAAGAGCCACAGCTATTACCAAATAGTTGGGCTCTGAGGGAACTAAGGAACAACAGGAAGCAGCCCAGAAGCTTGTTATAAATTAAACAAACTCCTTATAAATTAAACATGGTAACATATGAACACAAATGTAGGGCATGACAACATGACATATCTTTTAAAAACAGCAATTAAATGTACAGCATTGCTTTCCTTAATGATGTGCTATGCTAATTTAAGGCCAAGGTGATGATTCCATTGATTTAACAGTTTAACATGGAACTCATAAATGAGAATAAAATCTGCAATAAAGAAATCATGGGGACTTTACCATTTATGAGTACAGAATTAGGTATGTTATATGGGAGAAAGATATACATCTCAATTCAATCAATTTTCTATATCATAAACTAACCCAAAAATGCTTAGGCTGAACAATAAGCAGTTTCTTTAGATTCAAAGAAATATATCCCTTTGTTAAATATTCAGGTTCTCAATGGGATATCAACTGGTAAATTTTCAATTTATTTTTTATTGTCTGTTTTACTTCTCTCACACTGTTTACCTTTTTAATGTTTTAATATAGATCTTCTGAAAATATAACAGAAGTGTAAGGCATCACTTACGATAACTGTATCAAATATAAAGTACTGTAGTGGGCATGCAAGTTCTACCTTCTTAGTAAAAGACAAAAGAAGAAAGAAAAATATATCCTCTGATCACATACGGATTTGCTGAAGGAAAAGAATGTTCTGTTCGAGGGAGCAGCCTTACTGGGAGAGATCTGACCACGGCCATCTTTTGCATTCACTGTTTACTCTGCTCTAGGGGAAAAATAATCTAGAACAATCAGGCTGAACCTTAATGTTCACATTTTGCTCATTGTTAACTGGCTTTGTGTTTTAAAATGTGCCCTTTGATTATTCTGTTTAGATTAATTCAGCTCCCACAATTATGCTATTATTGCTATTACTATGTGGTATTATGAACAAATTTTCTTTATAATTTTTTTTTTTTTAAATCTGGAAGCAGGATTTTTTTAGCCCATACTCCGACCTTGGACCTTTGCTATGTAAAAATACCTTTACAGACTACCACTTTTGTATAGGACAAAAACATTATAGTTAGAATCCCTTGGTAAGCTATACAAATTGGCAACTAGCAATAAAGTCTTGATTGTATTGGTAGAAATCGTATGTATTTCTGCTTTAGTGGCAACAGATGAAACCTGCTGATGTATGGGGTAACAAGTGCAAAGCAGGAGGAAAGCAGTGACTTCACTTCTTGACCCCTACTCCCAGTATGTTTAACTACTTGCAGGTGTCAGCACACATCACTCTCTGTCTTCCCTAGGACTCACTATAGATTCATGCTGATGAGACTGGTCCTATTTGCTTGGTTAAGTTCCACTAGTCCCTTAGATTTCAGCTTAGACGACACTTCCTCAAGGAAGCCTTCCCTAATCATTCAGACAAAATAAGACTTCATGTAGGTTTGTCTGTAGCACTGGCTGATCCCACAGTAGCACTTGCCACAGTGTGATGTAATTTCCTATATACTTGCTTGTGAGCTCCTTAGGATGGGGCATATAAGCCTGTTTCCAAATGTGGTCCTGGTGCCTGACACGTAGCCTGCAATGTGATCAGATGCCTATAAATAATTGTGGAACAGACAAATTAGTGAAATGCTGATGATGACAATGCTAATAATGGCTAAGTTTGCTGTGTACTTATTATGTGGCAAGTACTATTCTAAGTCCTTTACATTTAATCTTCACAATACCCTCTCACTGCAGGTACAATTACCACCCCACTTCATAGGTGAAGAAAACGAGGCAGAGAAAAACTTCCGTACCTCTTTTGAGGTGCTTTGCTTTGGAAATGGAGTTTAGCTTATATGCTGGGAACAAAGGTGAAGTAACTCTTAATTGATAACATAGATCAACATAATCATTAGGTTGAACCATATGAAATTATGACATTCAACTGGTTTTGGCTTACTAATATGGCAATTTCACATGGCTCAGCCTTATATGAGGAGTTCAGTTATTGCATATTCTTTATCCCTATTTCCTACCACATTCACCCCATATTCACCCACACCTGGAAGAAACACTACACTCCGACATATTGTTATGCCCAAGAGTGACAGACACATGGGCAGGGGTTGAAGAAAGCATTTGTGCACAGAATGCTTTTTAGCTGTGTCAACAGGGCCTTGTTTCTTGGGTTCTCTGAGACTTACTGATCTCTTTGCCATATTCTACTCTTCACTGAACAATGATATTGGTTGTAATACATTCTGCCTATGCAGACCCAGCTAAGGGCCCCCAAAGAGGTAAAATCAGTAATAACATGTTTTTCCATAGTTTTAACTCATGTATGATGACATAAAGCCAAAGGTAAAAGAAAATAAAAAAGAATTTGAAGTTGAAAATGATTTAAATTTGCCAGTTCCCGGCACTTCTGGAATATTGCCAGGTTTAATTTGGATTGGGTCTTTCAGAGCCTGCACTGCTCTAACCTGATGTAGCCCAAAAAATAGAGTTGATATAATGAGGTTAAAAAAAAGTCCACCTAGCTTAACACAACTGACAGTCTGTTCTCAAGTTGCCTAGCCCTGAACCAGAATGTTTTATTTGTTGCACTCCAGAAGAGGGTGATACTGTCTCTTAGTGAAAGGTAGTTGTGATGAAAATAACTTATAGACTAATCCAAAGCTATGTGAGGCAAATGCTCACAGGAGGGAATAGGACTTGTTTTCAAGGTGGAAACATTTTTAGAGTTTGCCGGAGATTTTTATTTTAAAATCTCCAAATTCAACAATTCTTTCGCCTCCATAAACTTTCAAATGGAAAGCTCCAATATTTAGAGTAAACAATGTCTAAGCTTCCCCTTCATAGCAAGTTTTCTTTTTCTCCCCTGTCATAAGAGTGTTATATCCTGGCAACTGGAATACAGAACCCCTTTGTGGTAAAGCTATCACACTATACCACTCAGAATGTGTTGCTAATGAGGTTATTGCTTAATAGAACCATAGAAGGACATTGAAAAAAGAAAATACCCTGACAAATGTGTTGACCAAAGGATGCCAACAACTCTCCCAGGGTCCTGTCCGAAATTCAAGGATTTAAAAAAAGTAAAAAATGAACTTTAGTGTATGTGAAAAATCATAACATTGAAACATAAGTCCATTTATCTTTTAACTATTTTTCTAGTTCTCTTCCAAAATTTTACTGGTTATTAAAACACTGCTGTGTAAATAAAAATGTTCTGCTTTATAACTCACTCCCTATTTCTTGTTCTTACAATATAATAATGTCATTGTTTGTTATATCACACTTATTCTTAAAGCAATAGGGCTTGATGTGAAGGACTTTATTGAAGCACATTGAAGAAGGACTTCTGCAGAAAAATGAGACTGGGGAATCAAACACAGAATGGGGAGTTCAAAAAAGGTCTCAGAAAGATTTCTGAAATTCTGAGAATCCTGAAAGAGTTTATCCACCGTGGTTTGCACTGAGATAAGCAGAGTCTTCATAAACATCCTCCTATTCACTAAATGGGCTCACTAAGGCTGAATTGTCCATTGCTGAGGCCAAGTTGTCCACTGATAATATAGTCACAGGGAATGTATTACTAGAATTTCAATGAAGTCACTAAAATGCCCACACTGGGAATAGAGCTGCAAACAAATGAACACATTTCATTAGCATATATCCCTTGCCCTGATGAATAAGTGCTACTTCTTTTTAGAGATATTGAAAAATCAACTGTTTTACGCGCCTATTATCTAGAGTCATTAGGACCACCAAAAATGAGGGCTCTCAACACTCTTAAAGATAAAACCCAACATAGGCTGTAATTAGAATCACAGACTGTAGGAGCTGGTGTGGGTCTTTGAGGTAATTTAGTTCAAACTTCTCATTGTACAGTTGAGCTTGAGTGACTTTTCCAAATGTTATTCCGCCAGTTAATGGCTGGATTGGGAGTAGAACCTGGTCTCCTGCCTCTTATTCCACTGCTTTTGCCATTATAACAGGCTTCAGCCATGATATACTATTTAGACAAGGTCAGCCAACCCAGGCACTATCAATACTTAATGGAAGGGGATTCCATTAACATGAGGCCTTAACAGAAAATTTCCTGTGTTTAAAATCCTAAAATTTCAAGTTGAGGGGCTAACTTAGTACTTTCTCAGCATGAAAAGGCAAAGGGAACTGTATAAACTAGGATCTGACAGTAAAAGAACATAAATTAGAAATATCTACATAAAGATTAATCAGTGTGTATTAAAAGCAGAAAATTTACTCGAACTTGGACAATATTTTTCCTTATCAATCATCTATTGCAAATGCATAATAGGAATGAGAAATTCCTTTTTTATAAAACAGTAAATTATTTCTCGATTCACAGTACGTTCTACTGAAAAATGAAGCATTAAATTGGAAATTAGGACATTTGGTTCTATGCTGGGCTCTGCTATTCATTCAGCGAGATTCTCTAGCTTTCTGAGTCACAGTTTCGTAGTCTATAAACTGAAAGGGT